AGTTGCCACCAAAGAGAATATTGGAGCCCACGATGTTCTATTATTTTTGTTCGTGACCTTGACTAGTCTGTATGCCCCCCTCCCCACAGAAGATGAATTTGACAGAATCCACGGGATCCTAACTGTTGTTCTATGTGTTTTTATCCTCAAGTCGCCACAGAAGACGAGTTTGACGTATTATTTCTATGCATGACCTTGACTGATCGGTATGCCCCCCTCCCCACCCCACAGTTGCCACCGAAGACGAGTTTGACGGAATCCACGAGCCTCTGAACGTGGAGGAGAAGAAGTTGTACATGGTGGACGGCGGGCTGACCTTCAACTCGCCCTACCCTGCCGTCCTGCGGCCCCAGCGCGACGTGGACCTCATCCTGTCTTACGACTTCAGCGCCAGAACCAGCGACTCCAGTCGGCCCTTCAGGGTAAGGTTTGTTTTGTAATAAACAAACAAACAGACAAACAAACAAACAAACACACACAGGGAAGGGGGGAGGGGGGCTGACCTTCAACTCACCCTACCCGGCCGTCCTGCGGCCACAGCGAGACGTGGATCTCATACTGTCCTACGACTTAAGCGCCAGACCCAGCGACTCCAGCAGGCCTTTCAGGGTTAGTCAGTTATCGTCTGAGGGGAGAGAAAGGTCTTATTCTAACGGTGTCCCCTTCCCAACCATAACACAATCGTGTTTGATCCAACACAACAACTCTGTCACCTAGAGCTCTGGTCTCTCTCAGTAGACTGACCCAGTGAGGCTTGTCACGTGGTTTCTTTGAAGTGTGACGTCAACACTGGGTCAATGTATGCGTAAACGAGCGCGTTTGTTTATGTTTATGTTTACTTTAGAAGTTGTTGTTGTTTATGTTTACTCCAGGAGTTGTTGCTAGCTGAGAAATGGGCCCGTATAAACGGTGTGCCATTCCCACCAACAGACACCAGCGTGTTTATTTTTATGTTTATGTTGTTATTTATGTTTATGTTGATGTTTATGTTTACTCCAGGAGCTGTTGCTAGCAGTGAAATGGGCTAGGATAAACGGGGTGCCGTTCCCGCCAATAGACGCCAGCCTGTTTATGTTGATATTTACTGCAAGAGTTGTTTATGTTTATGTTTACTGCAGTTGTTTATGTTGTTGTTTATGTTTATGTTTACTGCAGGAGTTGTTGCTAGCAGAGAAGTGGGCCCGGATAAACGGCGTCCCGTTCCCGCCGATAGACACCAGCGTGTTTGACCGGGAAGGGATGAAGGAATGTTACGTTTTTAAACACCCCACAGACGACAAGTGTCCCATCGTGCTTCACTTCGTCCTTGTCAACATCGAGTTCAGGAAGTTCAAGAAACCAGGTCAGTATTGGCGGGAAAAATCAGTAATGGCGGGAAAATCTGTATTGGCGGGAAAAATCAGTAATGGCGGGAAAAAAATTAGTAATTGGCGGGAAAAATGAGGCAATATAAAAAAAAATTGGTACGTCTTTGTGGATAATGATACGTAAGAATCACTGCATTTCAATTGTGCTGAATTTGCTTAAGTGCTTTTTACGTGTACAAGCGTTCATCGGAAGAAAAGTTCATGTAACAAATCACTGACCAGGAATAACAGTAATACGATATCCCACTCACGTCATCTGTCCTTGACCTCTCTCTTTGCGGGGAATCTTGATGACATCACTATTTATTTCCATTCTGCTATACGATATAATCTGTGGAAAAAAAAAAGAAAAATCGTTTTTAAAGTTGTGTCTAAAAAAAGAGAAAAAATTGGCTATTCTGTTTAAGTTTGTCTACACGTCATCAATTCGTGGTTACTTATCATGACGTCACCGTTCCAGGCGTGAAGCGGGAGACGGAGGAGGAGCTGGAGTTCGCGAACTTTGACCTGTTCGATGACCCGAACACGCCCTTCTCGACCTTCAACTTCTGCTACCCGCACAAGGCGTTTGACCAGCTGGCGCAGCTCATGGAGTTCAACACGCTGCAAAGTCTGGACGTGAGTCTGTTTGTTTGTTTGTTTGTTTGTAGGATACTGGAAACCCCCTTTGTCGCCCTTCCATTGCTACAGTTGGTGTACCTCTCCCACAGCCAGAACCGTGCCTATTTTAATTAGTTCTATTGAATGGGTTAGGGTTAGGATCATGCACGGTTCTGTATAGTCTTTTCTGTACCCAGAACCGTGCCTATCTAGTTCCATGCCTGAATGGGTTAGGGTTAGGATCACGCACGGTTCTGGATACCAATACCGTTCTGTTTAATATTGTTGCGGTTCGGTTCAGTATCATTTTCTAAATTACCAACAATCTGTTTGACCTTCAGATTATCAAGGACAACATGGCGGAGTGCGTGCAGCGCAGGCGCAGAGGAGGCCCGCGGCCGAACCTTGACCTTGCTGACGTCAAGAGAAACTCCTTCAAGAACTCCAAGAAGAAACTGCGTCAGCTGATCAGAACTTTCTCCATCGACTCGGACACGTGATACCATGGAAACGCCATGGCAACGCCATGCAAACAAACAAAATTATTATGCAATGCAAATAAACGTTTTTGCAGGGATTAGATCAGATTTTTGTGAAGAAACATGATACGAGTGGAAATATAATTGTTTTATACCAATTTACCGAGTGTCACTTTTAACAAAGATGCTATGAAAATCATTCTATACGCTGCATTTTATCGTTATTGCGTCATGCTTACGTCATCAGAAGTTGATGTATAATCAATATTTGTGAATTATCATTCACAACTGACGAATAATGTCATAACTTATTGTTTGTTCTCTTTAACTTGTTGTACATATTCATATCTTGTTGCAATTTTACGATGTTTGAAGTTTTTGCTTTCCTGACGTATTGACTTGGATTCTTAGTCTAGACCCGGTTGCCTTGGATGAATAGATGTTAGTGAATTCTATAAAGCCTTACTGTCAGAGTGATAGATACATTTGTGGCAAACTCTGGCTCAATATAGCTTGGTCACTGGATGATCATGTGATGACCATGTGATGACCATGTAATGATCACGCGATGACCACGTGATGAACATGTGATAACCACTCGGCAAAATTGAAACCCAAGTTGAAATTTTACATGAATGCCATAACGTAGAAATGTGTTACAGAAACTACGTTGCTGGTTGTATTTCGCTGTGAATACATTATGTCCTGTATGGGAATATAGTTTAGTCCAATAGTCGTTTTTCTTCCATGGAAAGTTTTGAAATGCCATGAATTATGTTGAAGAAAGCCTGAATTTACAGTTGTGATATAAGCCGATTCTGTAAATATCTGGAGTTTTCAATAAACTATTCTCGCCATGATACAGCCATCTGCTTCGCATATACTTTTTGTCATGTATTATTAAAATAAATACATAAAATTTTTCGAGAAGTCGAGACAAAAAAAATACAAGTTATCAAAGAAAGGCCAGACCCGCAGACGACAGCCAGACGAGTCAGAAAACATGTACTTAACTCTCGTGGGAGGAAAAACGGCTGTTAACTACAGAAGAAGACCGCAATTACAGGTGAGATTCGCGTGACCAGGTGGCCATTATTCCACCTGACTTCCCCCATTATTCCACCTGAGTTACCTGAAACCGGTCATTATGTCACGAACTTGAACTTCAATAATACATAAATGTCAAGGTGGAGACGTCACAGCCAGGCAGTAAAGTCACGGGCAGAAAACAGACTTGGACGGACTGTGGACAGACCAACGGTGCGGACTTCGGAGGGATACTGAGAGGTAAGGGCTCGTTTCGCTGTTTGCTACAGTTTGCTACAGTACTAGTAAATTCGGTACATGTCAGACCGGACTACTCTCCAAGCAGATGTTTGGATTATCTTTGGCGTGTTTTTTTTTTTTTTATCGGGCTTTCTTTCTTGCACTGGTATCTTTTTTTGGGTTGGCGTAAAACAAGATACCAGCTGCAGTGCTAAAAAGAAAGCCCGAAAAAAAGGCAAACCCAAACCTGTATGGTTATCTTCACTGCAAAGTGTTATTTTTGGTTTTCTGTTTGAGACATGACAACTGAAGCATTGATTCTAAATCTTTTAGGAACTCATTAAGAGGGTCCAAAGTTCCACATCCAGCCAAAAGTACGGATTCTTTGACCTATCTTCCAGCTGCGCACACAGGACAGGTCTTCCTAGCACCACAAAGGTACAGTCTGAGACTCTCTTATATATCATAGATAATGTATTAGTTTTGTAGACTTTTTTGTTGCTGTAATGTTTTGTCATGTCTTGTCAGCAGGGCAAGCCACTGGCTAGCTGGGCTGCCCTGGCTGTGAGGATTGAACACGCCAGCCAAACCGATAAATGAATAGATACTATAAGTAATATTATATCAGTATTATAATATAATAAGTATTATTGAATTTTGGCCACTGCCTGGTAGTGGTAAGCACTTGGCAATCGTGTTTTCTCCTGTTTCTCCAACCTACGTCATACTCCAGATGATGTGTATCATTACAGAGTAAAATTGTACCGAATTTCACCCATTATTCCAGTTCAGCGAGTTTTCCATTCTCCTCCTCTTTGTCCACTGTTTCCTGTTGAGTCGCCGTGTTTGATTGTTACCGGGCAACTATAAGTGTTGTGTTTTTATCGATAGTGTACATGTAGGTTTCAACACCAACTTCAACCTACTGGCAGACACATTCATGCCCGAGGGCCAATTGCAAGTACATTTGGTATAAGAACAGGCAATTAATACACAGAGAACTACTGATAACTCCTAAAAACTACTGGGTTTGACTTCTTTTTTGAAGACAGAAGAAAACATTCCACTTTTTCTGTAATTTGTCTGTTTTTAAGATGTTAAGAGGAGTGTTTCCGTACCCGAAAGTAACAATACCACCCCTCTCTCTACAGCTGCCAGACACCCCACCATGAAGCCTGCTCACTGCCTGTCGGCCGTGTTACTGTGCCTGTGGTGTGTATCAGAGCGCGGGCAGACGGAGACGAGCCCGGGGCCGTGCCGTGTGTTGGGAGGCGGCGGGGAGGCGGGGTACGGCCCGGGCGGGACGGGCACGACGCGGGCGCCACGGGGAGGGCAGGGGCAGGGCGGCGGGGGCCAGGGAGTGACCACCCCGGCCGGTACCACCACACCGGCCCCGCTACGGGCTCGCCGGGACGCCGTCATCTCCACCCTTCCCATCTGCCCCACCGGAGCCGGAAATCCGTCATCCGGCGGAAACGGAAACAGCGGAGGAAGAGGTTCCGGGTCAAAGGCTAGACTGTCCGCGCCTGCGCTGTTCACGGTTGTTCTTCTGACTGTTCTGCGCATGTTGTAATCTGATCCTTCCTCGTACGTTGTCAATAATTTTATGCATGACGTCAATGACTCGATGACCAATCAGGAACCAAAATTGGGCTGATGGCGTGAGTTCATTGGCTGAAACGTTATTGCAACCACAACTAGAAGGCAAACAAACAAACAAACTAGTGCACGTAGTAGACACACACATTAACGTACATACAATGGAGTGATGACATGAACTTTTTTTCATTATTTTGCCCTGAATTCGATGAAACCTGACACCTGTCCGCCATCTTGTCCTCCTGACCTTGACCAGTTCCACATTGATCGATCTTCCATGAGGTCTTAAGTCGCGAGGATTTAGTGTAAGAAAGTTATTGATGTCGCCCTGATGGCCCTGAAGAAGGGCTTAAGAAGGTGTTAGTAGATTTCAGCCTCCTTAAGTAGAAATAACAGCCCCTGACTTGTGAGATTTGCATGTAGATTGTACCGCCGTGTCCAGCGGCCAGAAGCTGGGGGGGGGGGGGGAAGCTGGGGGGGGGGGGGAGTCAGGTGTTTGGACAGCCGGGGAGGTCAGAAGATCACATAAATGTTTACAGCCTAGTCTCCACCAGGCTGGGAACACGGGTTGAAAAAATGAAATGTAACCAATATGGAGAATAATTGACTAGGGAAGTTCAGCCAGCATAGAGTTCCCTAACCGCGCAGTTAGCGGGAATTTAACCCTCTCGCGGACTGACTCTCCTGGCCAACTATTCCCCTTTTTTTACCGAATTCTAGGATCCGTACCCCCGTAGGAAGACCTGGTGGAGGCTACAGCCACCACCGGAGTTTTTCTGGGGCGTATTTTCAGTACTATTCTGGCCAACCGGTGTGAATAATTTGTGAGAAGAAATGAGCCACTCTTCTGGCAAAATTCACAAAGTTTAGCCAATTTCTACTATTCTCCCAAAAACCTAAAAAAAGTCTGGTGGAGACTAGCAATGTACAACTATGTTGTAACGTTGTAAAGGCCGGAAACCTCCCTGTTACATCTGCAGACAGTGTAAGGATATAACTGTTATGTTTACGAATTACATAACGCATGTCGAAGTACCAGGAAGGTTGCTCCCTTAATGCCATTTCGAGTTGGATATATACATTTCGTAATATCATTTTCGTTACTATACATCGAATTGTGCACCAAATTATATGTTTAACTTACAACGTTACTTTTAGTTTGTTACAAGTTAATCTGGTTTGCGCCGACTTCTGTGGCTTTTTGTCAAAGCTAACTACATTTCTGATGATTCCCTACGACTTGCTTTTTGCCTTAAATTAATTTGGGATGATAACCGGTTTTTACTGCCAAAAATGAGTTCATTTGTAATGACTTTTTGTGTCTTGTGTTCAAGGCCAGGTCGATTTTGAATAACTTTATATTTACTGCATGTATCATCTACAGTATCTATGTCAGGGGTAAAATGGTAAGGTTATCTATTAGCTCGTGGAGACTGAATGAGAAACTGAATGTATCACTTCCATTGGCATTGTATTAAACCACGTAGAATGTTGGGCAATACGTACAGTTCTCTTCCATACGTCTGTTTTTTTACCTTCAACAAAAGTTGATGTTAATTAGTGTTTATGTTGTGGTTGTGTGATTCAATTGCATAACTGAAGAAGCTATGGATGGTGCTTATTAACCTGCATTTCTCCTCTGGTCTCTCAGTCACTGACGAAAGCTAGTGGATACTAGCTGAAACGTCTGACGTTTTCAAAATCATATCCAGTTGCTTGAGTAACTGCTTTTTGGCGTGTGGATGGGTTGTTGTGTTATATGATATCCGGGTAGATGTCCCCAAATCGAAGGAACATAACGGAGGATGAAGTAGAGCTAGGCAGAAAATGAAGGAGAAGAAAAGGGAGGCAAGGGCCAGCTACAGGCAGACGGTTATTAACAGGCAGACAGATGAGGCGTAACTAACTTCAGGCAGTTCCATGCCCTTGGCCCATGAGGCATAAGTCAGGGCAGATTCCGCTGATTCAAACTGTTCCAATATCCATCATAAGGTGTTACAGAATCAGCATGCAGTAAAAGTTGGAAATGGATCAATAAAATTACCCATCGATCAAACCTGATGTCACCTTATCAGAACACTGACGCTAACTGATGATGAGCTCAGCCCCAGGCGAATCCGTCAGGCGATACGTTTTAGGTACAGGCAACAATGGAGTAACGCTATCAGTGTATTTATGGTGGCGAGCTGACATTTTGGTAAGCTGTATCAAGGAGGTTGTATGAGACCTCTATGTCTGTATATAGTGTATACAGCTTACCGAAATGTCGCCTTACCCACGTAAATACGCTGATATATGTGCTTTTCCTCACTCTAGGTAAGATTGAATTTTTCTGACATGAATATTTCAAAATCTATCAAAGAGACGCCATAACGTAGAGCCATCATGACGTGATAGGTGGTGACGGATAGGGGATGGCTTTAGGCGGCAGGAAGCGGTAAAGGATTTCATCAACGCATTTACAGGCCAGCAGGAACTAATGATAACCGAGTTAGCTTTTCCCCGGCAATGATAAATCCAACATCATAAAAACATTTCATCAAATCGATGGGTTTGAAGTATAAGCCATTTTTTAATAGTGTTTCGTGTCTGATGAATCGAGAACCAAGCTTTATCCAGAACCATGCTTAGGCACAGTTCTGCCTCTGGATAGCCCACGCTTATCCAGATACAAACTATCCAGAACCGTGCCTGGGGCAAATCTACGCTCTTGGATACGCGGAGACTATCCAGAACCGTGCCTGGGGCAAATCTACGTTTTTGGATATGCGGAGACTATCCAGAACCGTGCCTGGGACAGGACGGGTGTTTCATGTAACGAGACATCCCCGAATTACTATGGAACAGGATGAAGTCATGAAACTGCGTGAATCTCGTTTAGAAGCAGGAATTTTGCTGATAAACTTTTCCAATTTTCAAGCCGAAGAACCGACATGGACAGACGGGGGGTTTGTGGCTGGGAAATCGTGTCTGTGTCAGCAGACAGGACAGGGGATT